TTTTTTTGCTTTAGAATATCGATAAGCATTACTCTATATTTTGATTTTATAATGATTTCTGATAAAACATTTCTTAGCATCTGTTGAATTACTACAATGTACGAGAAGCACTATCAAATAAAAAATTTGATTTTTCGCCATCATTTGGGCTATGAATTTGGAGCAGTTCTATATCCAGAATGGAGAGGAGGTTCTATATCCAGGATGGATGGTTCTTTCCCAGTGGAAAGTTCCCGAAAAGGGAAATGTGAGGTGGATGAGGAATGTCTGTAGTCAGAACAAGCACTGTACAGCAGTGGTGCACCAAGATTCATTGTTTCTACTATTGCGAACTGCATGAAAAGGGGACATTTCTGATTCGGGACCGATTGAAATAGAGGGAAAAAGCGTGAGGGGAAAAAGCTCTTGATGTCTCGAAAATGCAGGTGTTCGCTGAGTGTAGTTGTAAAGGGTCCTTTCCCAATAGCGCAGTGCCGTAAAAAACACGGATTTTGCATTCCTGGTTTCTGGCTCTAGCAGAAAGGACGAGTAATTGTATGACGGTTACGAAGATTTTGATATGTTTCGGGATATGTTCTGAGATTTGGCGGGAAAATTTGGCGGCATGGAGGAGTTCCTTTGAGCATCAAGGGTTTCATCGTGCAGTTTTTCAGCGGGATCACTACATGTATCGTCGAACAGTCTGTACAGATAACACTAAGAAGCCCTATTAACTGTGGGATTTTGATTTTATTGTCCTTATCAGAACCCTAAACGGATCGGATGAAATTGCGCTGTTTACAGGATGCGCCTGTTTTTCAAATCAGACAATAAATTCCCCTTGAGTTACATCGATGTGACCGTCGCAGGAGTGCCCGTGTATACCATGAAAGGGTATGGGCAACCCCGTTGCGAGTCTGGAGCAATGTTACTTGGACTAATTCTCTACAACAATTATAGTTTTTGAAGTACCTGGAGTTCTCACAGCAATTGCCCAGATGGTCTTCTTTTTCGTGATAGCACTATTTTTTTTTTTGAACATAGGTCGTTTTTTTTGCGGAAGAAAATTTTGCAAAAAAAGAGCGGTTCCGGAAAAGTGCAAGAGGCTGAATTCAAAAAGTCTCTGGAAATTTCAATTAGCACTAGGAATTTGATCTTTTTTGCAGAAATTTGATCTCTTGCTAATAAAGCATCAGATGCTTAAAAGCATGTCGTGAACGCATCTATCAGCATCAAGAATTTGATCTTTTTTTTTGCCAGTGGCATGTCGGATGCGGAATATTTACTCCCATCCATCGTATTTTGTCAAATTCGCACTGGAAGCAGTGACGGTACGAATAGAGGAAGCTTTTATGGCTTTTTTAGACCTGTTAGTTGGAATTTTCTTAGCATAATTTTTTAAACACTTCTCTTCCGGGGAGGGAGGAGGAAAGAGAGAAAAGTCAATTGAGAGAGGGAAAAAGAGTCCATTTCGTCCATTTTTGAAAAAAGTTTTAACATGACATGATAAGACATTTGGTGTTATTAACACGGCGTAAAATGGGAAATTTTTCGACAATTGGAATTATCTATTTCACCCGATCATAATTCATCATGATCTTACGGTTAACAGCGCTCGAGACACGGTGGTAATGCTCAACACAAATCAAGGAAACAATGCAAATATACAATTTAGTTATGATTTTGACTGATATACCTTAAAGTGAGTAAGTATCTCAAACCGGCGGTAAATTTTTCTCTAAGAGTCGCAGTACCAGGAGAAGAGGTTGTGGCACTTAACACATGCGGTTAAATTGGTAAGTGGCTAAAGCCTCGCCGGTTAAGCCACTAAGTCGGTTGTACAAAAATTTATAGTGATTAGCCAGTAAGCCCATTCAGGAGATGAAAGGGAGGGATATCAGGATTGCTAGAAGGCTGACCTGCTCAAAACAACCATGAAGTGAAGAACAGTGAAAATGGCATGGCTTCGGCTACGCTACGGAAAGAGCTTTTGAAATATGAATCATTGGCATACCAGAGCTCTTACGTTCATCAAGAAATCAAAGGAAGGCCAAATTTGTACGTGGATTACAGTAATCCCGGTTCATATCAATGGCGCAGCTATCACAGATTTCGAAGAAAAAAAAAGCCCCGAATCCAGCATAGACTCCTCTAAAAATTCAAGGACACCTGCTCCCTTCCCGAATTTCTTGGCTGTTTTAGTGCCATTGAATTTCAGCACTGTTCTGGGCTATCAAATCCACCAGGTCATGAGCCATCTACTTCGACGATGTGGCGCTTCCGATGCACCACTGGTCTGCATCTTCTTGCTAATCACTGCGGTTGTCTTTTGGCCTACTGGATATTCTTTGACGGTGGAATTTTCATCCAGAATTCTAATAGCATCGTCATCCACTTCATCATCGTTGTTCCCTTCCGGTGATCGTTTTACACTACCATTACCGCTCGGAAGCACCAGACTTCCTTTATGCGCCGCTGCACCTGCATCCGCACGAGCAGCAGCGGCACTGTGAAGGAATATCTGCCGATAAATGGGGAACATTGGCCCGTAGGTCAGCATCAGCGGTGGGTACCTGAAAAATTC